CCGCCACCCAGAAGGGCAGGGTGCAGACGAAGACGACGTCGGCCACGGCCAGGTTCAGCACGAAGGTGTCCACCGCCCTCCTGCCGCCGCTCCTCTTGGCCAGCAGCACGATGACGAAGAGGTTCCCTGCGAAGCCGAGGAGGAAGATGAAGGAGTAGAGCACGGGGATGACCACGGTGGTGAAAAGCTGCTCCGGGCTCCCCGGCACGGTGCCGCCCGCCGGGTACTCGTAGTCGGCCGAAGCCTCCGGCTCCTCGGTGGCCTCGGGAGCCATGGGGGTGGCCGAGCCCCGGGTGCCCCCCCCCTGTGCCTGGGTGGTGCTGGCGGTGCCCGGCGGTCGGGTTGTTGATCTGAGCTCTGCTCAAAACAGGCTTCTGCACTTCCTTTCGTACGGGGCAGGGTCCGCGGGGTGGATGGGTGCCGGCAGGCACGAGGTGAGCCGCAGTTAATTTTGGAAACAGAAAAACAACGAGAAAAACAGCCAGAGCACAGCCAGCCCCGGGAGGAGGGTGCAGGACGGCTCCATGCCCACGGGGACGGGCAAAGCCCCGGCAGTGCCGGCCCCAGCCCCGTTCCTCAGCCCTGGGGGGCACCAAGCAGCAGCCGCGGCTCCATCACGCTCAAACCTCCACATCCCCTTCCCAGACACATCTGGTTAGCAAAAACTGCACAAAAGCCTTGGTTTTGTGGTGTTGTGGGGTTTTTTATTTTATTTTATTTTATTTTATTTTATTATTTTTTTTCCAAATGCAGCAGGTGCAGGGCTGTGGTGGGAGCCGGCACCCATGCCCCAGCCCTGCCAGCTCATTCCAGCCCCGGGCGCTCTGGTTCTCAGCACAGGGGGCACCGAGAAGCGATGCCCGCGGCCGCCCACGGCCCACAAGTGCTCCTGGAATGACAGCACCGGGCTGCGGGCACGGGACGGGGCCGTGGGAGCGCCGCGGAGCCCCGGTGGCACAGGGGGGGGGAGGAGAGGAGGCACCGACCCCGCGTGCGAGGCCTCCTGCACCCAACGGCCGTGAACAGCCCCAGCCCTGCACCACGGCCCCAAAACCCAAACTGAGAGGGGCCGGGGATGGGAGCGGGGCTGGGGTGCAGCCAGGAGGGGGGCACCCACCCAGGGGACACCTCGAGCTGCTCTGCTGGGCGCCCCGTGCTGTCACCTGCCTCTTCTGAGCCCCTCCTGTCCCCGGGACTTGGTCTCCCTTAACCTCCCCTCGCCCCGTGCGGCCTCCCCCGGCCATCCCCCGGGTCCTGCCCCCCTCGGGCACCCCTCGGCCCCCAGCCCAGCAGCCTGGCTGTCACCCGGCCGCCCCCATGGCCCGGCCTCCCCCATCCAACCCCACCATGAGGCCTCCTCCAGCTGTGGGGTGGTGAGCGGTGGGAGAGGGTGGGGGTGCAGAGATTGGGGAGATGGGGGGAGGAAAGGGGGGGTGGGTGGGTGGGTGGATGAATGGATGGACAGACAGATGGGTGGATGGATGGATGGACAGATGGGTGTGTGGGTGTGTGGATGGATGAATGGATGGATGGATGGGTGGGTGGATGGACAGACAGATGGGCAGATGGACGGACGGACGGATGGGTGGATGGATGGGTGGATGGATGGATGGATGGATGGATGGATGGATGGACGGACGGAAGGACAGGCAGATGGGTGGATAGTTGGATGGGTGGATGGATGGACAGACGGACAGGTGGGCAGACAGACAGATGGATGGACGGATGGATGGATGGATGGGTGTGTGGATGGATGAATGGATAGATGGATGGGTGGATGGACAGATGGACAGACAGATGGGCAGACGGACGGACGGATGGATGGATGGACGGATGGACAGGCAGATGGGTGGATGGTTGGATGGACAGATGGATGGATGGATGGATGTGTGGATGAATGGATGGATGGACGGACGGATGGACAGATGGACAGGCAGATGGGCAGATGGATAGATGGATGGATGGATGGATGGACGGATGGATGAGTGGACAGACGGATGGATGGAAGGATGGACAGGCAGATGGATGGATGGACGGACGGACGGACAGGCGCAGGAAGGCAGTGTGCATGCAGGACACGATGCAGACACGTAGTGCTGGGCAAACAGCCGGGGGTCAGCGGCCAGCAGGGCCCCCCCCTGCCCCCCGGAGCCGTTCCTGCAGCCGCTGCTCGGGCTCGCGGGGTCCCGGCCGCACCCGCAGCGCCGGGCTCGGTACCGGGGCCCGTCCTGTCCCCGGGGGCCATCCCGGGGCGGCCTCCCGGGGCTGGGGACCCCCCGTTCTAGGGGGGGGGGGTGACCGTGAGGTGTGTGGGGGGGGGCACAACGCGCGCTCCCGGCGCTCTGTGGAGCCGCGGGGCCGCGCCGCTCGCTCCCGGCGGGGCGTGGGCCGCGCGCATGCGCAGAGCGCTCGGGGCCGGGGCGGCGCTGAGGCAGGGCCCCGGGGCCGCCATGACCAACGGTGAGCGGGGGGGGGGGGGCAAGGGGAGCGGGGAGGGGGGGGCTCGGGGCTCGGGGCCCGGTGCCCGGTGGCGGTGCCGGGACGCAGCCGTGCCCCGCAGTGTACTCGCTGGACGGGCTGCTGGTGTTCGGGCTGCTCCTGGTGTGCACCTGCGCCTACCTGCGGAAGGTGCCGCGGCTCCGCGCCTGGCTGCACGGAGAGAGGAGGGGGCTCGGCGGCGTCTGCTACAAGGGTGAGGGGGGGGGCGGGACCGGGACACCGGGACACCGGGGGGGGGATGGGGACGCGGGTTGGGGACGTGGCACGGGGGATGTGGGCTGTGACACGGGGACACGGGGCTGCAGGGGGGGCGTTTGGGGGTGTGGGGCTGTGACATGGGGACAGGGGGGCTATGGGGGGGGGCAGGGGGCTGGGGGCGTGGGATGGGGCAAGGGGATGCAGGGGGGGTGTGGGGGGGGTGGGGCTGGGGTGGGGACATCTGGGGACGTGGGGCTCTGATGGGGAGGTGGGGCTGCAGTGGGGACAGGGGGCTCCAGGATGGGGACAGGGGGCTGGGGGCGTGGGATGGGGACATGGGGCTGCAGGGGGAACATTTGGGGATGTGGGGTTTTGACATGGGGACACGGGGCTCCGGGATGGGGACAGCAGCTGGGGACACAGGGCTGGCACGGGGACAGCTGGGGACATGAGGTTGGGAGATGGGGACACGGGGCTCCAGGATCGGGACATGGGGCTGGGGGCATGGAATGGGGACACGGGGCTGCAGGGCAGGTATTTGGGGATGTGGGGTTCTGGCATAGGGATGTGGGGCTCTGGGATGTGGATGTGGGTTGGGGATGGGGGATAGGGGACCAGGGGCTGCTGGGGGGGGCGTGGGGCTGGGACAGGGACATCTGGGGACATGGGGCTCTGGGATGGGGATGTGGGACAAGGGACAGGGGTTGGGGACATGGGGCTTTGGGATGGGGAGGCTGGGACCTGGGCTCTGGGATGGGGCAAGGGGCTGCAGGGGGCATGTGGGGGTGTGGGGCTGGCACGGGGACATCTGGGGATGTGGGGCTCTGATGGGGAGATGGGGCTGCAGTGGGGAGATGGGGACAATGTGGGGCTCCAGAATGGGGACATGGGGCTGGGGGCATGGGGTTGAGGAAGGGGACCACGGGGCTCTGGGATAGGGACATGGGATGGGGATATGGGCTGCAGTGGGCACGTGAGGCTGCACGGGCATAATGGGGATATGGGGACATGGGATAAGGGACATGGGACAGGGGACAAGGGGCTCTGGGATTGGGGACATGGGGCTGGGGGCATAGGATGGGGACACAGGGTTGCAGGGGGGATGTGGGGGTGTGGGGCTGGAACGGGGACATCTGGGGATGTGGGGTTCTGATACGGGGACACGGGGCTGCAATGGGGACATGGGGCTGTGGGATGGGGACATGGGGCTACAGGGGGGATATCTGGGGACATGGGGTTCTGACATGGGGACACGGGGCTCTGGGATGAGGACGTGGGATAGGGGACCAGGGGCTCTGGGCTGGGGATATGGGGCTGGGGGCATGGCATGGGGATGTGGGGCTGCAGGGGGGATGGGGCAGTAATGGGGTTGTGGGGATAGGGTGCCGGGGGCGTGGGGCTGCAGTGGGGACGTGAGACCAGGAGGGGCACACGGGGCTGCGGCAGGGATATGGGATGGGATGTCCCGGGATGGGGACATGGGGAGCTGGGCTGTGGGTGCGGGATGGAAGCGGCGGTGTTGGGGTGTGGGACGGGGACACGGGGCCTGGGATGGGGAGATGGGGGCACAGGGGACCGGGACAGGGGCATGGGGCTGGGATGGGGACGTGGGGCTCCAGGATGGGGTCACTGCGGGCTGGGTTTGGGGTCACGGGGTGGGGGTGGTGGCACTGGGGTCTGGGACTGGGGTGTGGTGGCCGGGTTGGGGACACTGGGGGCTGGGTTTGGGGGCACAGGGTTCCCGGCATGGGGTTCATGGGAACGTGTGGGGCTGGGCTGGGGGCATGGGGTGGGGACGGGGGCATCGGGGTGGGGCCGTGGGGGTCGTGCCCATCTCTCCCCCCCCACAGCTGCCGTGATCGGCACCCGGCTGCACGCCTTCGTGTCGGTGTCCTGCGTGCTGATGGCGTTCTACGTCCTGGCCCTCAAGTGAAGCCCCCCCGCGCCCCCCACGGCCCCCCGTGCCCCCATCCCGGTACCGGTGCTGCTGCTCCGCCGCCAGCAGCCGGGGGGCTCGGCCCCCTCCCGGGCAGGACGCAGCCCCCGGTGCCGCCGGCCCCTCCCCACGGCCGGGGGGGACCCGCGGGGCCAGGGGGGGGGGGCGCGGGGGGGCGCGGGGGGGTCCCAGTGCGGCGGGGCCGGGCCAATAAAACAGAGAGCGGCACGCAGGGACCTGACTGGGCGGGGCTACGGGGAAATGGGCGGGGCCTCGGGGGGTGTGGGCGGGGCTTCGTGGGAGGGGGCGGGGCTAAGCCGGGGGGTGCTCTGCGAAACGGGCAGGGCTCGGTGGGAGGGGGCGGGGCTTCCGATTGAGTGGGCGTGGCTCAGCCAGGGGAGGGGCGGGGCCTCGTGGTGGGCGGGGCTCCGCGGTCCTCCCGCCGCCAGGAGGCGCGAGGCGGAGGGGCGGGGCCTGCCCGCTACCCGGCGTGCCCCGCGCGGAGGGGAGGTTATAAAAGGGCGGGGAGGGGCGGGGCCGCGCGCAGAGCGGCGGCAGCGCGGGCGTGTGCGGGTGGGGGCTGCGTGTGCGTGGGAGGGGGCGTGAGTGTGTGTGAGTGTGTGTGCGTGGGCTTTGCGCGTGCCGCCGCCTACACGTTGATCTTATTTGATCGGCCCCCGGCCGAGATGAGAAGAGCCGCGCCGCGAAGCCCCCGGGCGCTGTGCGGCGGGCGGGCGGGATGAGTCGATCAGATAGGCGAGGCCCGGCCCCGCGCCCGGCCCCTGAGCGCGCCGCGATTCTGATCCGCCCGCCGGCACCGAGCCGCTGCTGCTCGGGGCCTTTTTATTGCGGCGCTACGGGGAGAAGAAGCCGCCGTCCGCCTTGCGCGAGTAGCCGCTGTTGGTGGCCGCGCTGTGCGGGCACTCTGCGGGGCGACACGCGAAGGGTGGCGGCGGCACCGGGACCGCCCCCACGGACCCCCCCCCCCCCGCGTCCCCATAGCCTGGCCGGGGGCACCGCGGCACCCCCGGCAGCCGGGTGACACCCCCAACCCCGCAACCACCCCGTCCCGGTAGCCCCCGCCCCGTCCCAGTGCCGCCCGCCCCGTCCCGGTGCCCCCCGTACCGATGCCCCCCTGGATGCTGTGCACCGACTCCTTCTTGGGGCTCACCCAGCACCGCGGGGAGGGCTCCGGGGGCTGCTCCGGCTGCCGGGGGACCCTGCACCGGGACAGGGGCTCAGCCGCCGCACCGGGGCCGGGGGGCGGCAGCGGGGGGCACGCAGCGGGCACTCACCCGTGGTCCCGGGTGCACCGCGCGGGCGTGGCGTGGAGGCGGCTCCAGGGCCGGGGGGGGCCCGGCGGGGACGAGGCGCTGCCGCCTTCCATGGTGGGGCCGGTGCTGGCCGCGGCTGTTGCCCGGTAACAGCTGCGAGGGCGGGGCCGTTACCGGGGTTGCCCGGTGCGTGGCGGAGGTGTGGGGGGGGGGCACACGGCGGGGATGCTTCGCCGTGACACGGGGACACCGGGAGGGACGGGGCACGGGGGGTGATGCCCGGCACCGGGCTCCCGAGGGGCGATGACGCCCGGTGCCGGTGCCGCCCCCGGGATGGGTGATGGGGAGGGGGAGCGGCGGTGATGCCCCGGGGGACGAGGCCCGGTGCCGGTGCCCGGTGCCGGGGGCGGGGCGGGGGCGGTGCAGGTGGCGGCAGGTGCGCGCGCGGGGCCGTTGGCGGGGGGCGGGGCCGCGGGGCCGGTGCCCGCACGGGGCCGAGCGCTGCCGCCGCCGCCGCTGCGCCATGGCCGGGACCGGGGCCGGGGCCGGGGCCGGGGCCCGGCGGCTGCTGCTGGCGCTGTGCGTGGCCGCCGCCGCCGTGCCGCCGGGCCGCGCCGGGGAGCGGCTGCACGTCTGCAAGGAGGTACCGGCGGGAGGGGGAGGCTGGGGGGGCGCCGGTGCCGTGGGGACGGGACTGGGGGGCCGTAACGGGAAGGGTAGCGGGGGGCTCCGCGCCGCCCCCGGCCCGGTGGGGGGGCTGTCGCCGTGTCCCACGCAGGACCGGGGCTGAGCGGCCCCCGGTGCGGGACCGGGCGGCTCCGGGCCGCTGTCAGCCGGGAGGAGCGGGGGTTAACGGGTGACAGCGGCGGGGACCTCGGGGACGGGGCCCGGCTGGGGCTCCGCTGCTGGGGGGGGGGCTCTGGGACTGAGCCCCGTCGCAGCCCGGTGCCTCCATCGCTGACCCCCCCCGGGGGATACCAGCGGGGTCCCCAGCCCTGCCCCGTGGCTGTCGGTGGCAGCGGGGCACGGTCCCTCGCCCGTGCGCCTTTGCCAGGCCGGCAGGCGGTCACGGCACGGCTCTTATCTCGGGTCCGGCAGGCACAAAACGTCCTGCACAGGTGAGCTCGGGGAGGTGCCGGGCACAGGGACCGTCTGGGGGGGGGCATTCAGCTGCCCCCAGCTGCCCCCAGCTCCAGCCCCACCAGCGCCGTCCTTCGCCGCCTCCACATCTCCCTCTCCCGCCTGGCAGCTCTTTGCCTTCCGACCCAGCAGCACCGGGCACCTGCTGGGGGGGGCTCCCTGCCCCGTGTGCTCCCCGCTGCCCCCCCCCGCCCCGCTCCAGCGGCTGCTTTTCATCTGGGCCATTCTTTTTTGCTGTGATCCAATTTTATTTTTTTTTTTGTTCCACGGCCCAGAGCTGGAAACAATGGGCTGCAGCCGGTGCTGGCGCCGGGGGGGGCTGCTCCCAGCGAGGTTCTGCCCTCGCCCCCTGTCCCTTGTCCCCTTGCCTGTCCCTGCCGCTTGGGCATCGCTCGCTGGGAAGGGCTCGTGGCAGCACCTGGGGTCCTCAGCACCGAACAGCCGCCCCGGGGCTGAGTTGGGTCGATGGAGTTGGCTTTAATGAGCACACAGCGGGTGAAGGCGAGCGACTCGCTGCTGTTGACAGCTTCACGCTGCCAGCCATGCGCTGAGACTGGAGGGGGGGGGGGTGCAAAGTTTGGGGAGAGGAAAACACCGAGGTGCGAGCCCCAGAGAGCCTCGAGCATGTGTGCCATCGGGATGCTCGGGGCTTGCTCTCTGCTCTGGGCTCTGTGAGGGTGCCCCCGTCCTGCCCGTGGCCATAGGGACCCCCGTGTCCCCAAGAACCGGCCCCTGCAGCACCACAGACACCTCCTCTATGCCCAATCTGGGGGGGCTGGGGGCTACCAGCGCTTCTGCGTCCCCCCACCGCTGCCTCGTGCTGGTAGAAAACATCAAAGCTTTGTTTTCGCACAAACCTGCCACGCTCCCGCATCTGCTGCCGGCACTGAGCTGTGGCTCCGTGCTCTGGAGGGGCCGGGGGGGCTGCGGTGCCGCTGCCTCGCCCCCGCCAGCTGCCCGTGGGCACGGTGAGCACCGGGCGGCCGGACCTGGCCTCGGGGACTGAATGTGCCGCGTGTTGCCAGCGTCGCCTCCTCCTGGCCTTGAGCAAGTCCCGGCTGGGAGGCAGCTGGCGGCTTATTTCCTAATGGGGAGGATGCAGCCGGGTGCTCTGCGCTTCAGCAGCCCCGTGCATCCACCCAGGGGGTGCTACCAACCTGTCCCCCCCCTGCCCTGTACCCCCGTCCCTGTGCACTCTCCCGGTGCCCGGCTGCAGCCTGGGCGGCTCCCGAGCAGGACGGTGCATCCGGCAGCGTGTTTAATGAGCAACGCGTGCCGCGGCCACGCCAAGGCAAACAGGGCCCGGCTGCCTCCGGAGCAGGGCCAGGGGTCCCCCAGCCCTTGGGGTCTGTGCTGCAGAGGTGGCACGGTGATGGCACCAGGTGTCCCTTGTCCCCGCACCGGAGCGGTGCTGGTGCCGTGGCTGCCCACAGAAGGGTTGGCAGTGCCGGGTGCCTTCGCTGTGCTGGGGATGGCTCGTCCCCTGGGGACAGCCTGGTTGTCCCCACAGCCCTCTGGGGGTTTGGCACCCTGTGGGGTAGACATCAGGGCTGGGGGATGTCGCCCTGCCTAACCCTGTCCCCAGCATCCCTCTGTCCCCAGCATCCTTGCCCGCCACGTGCACGGTCCCTAGAGTCCGGCGTGGTTGAGCTGCTCGAGCCGGTGCGCTTGGGGCGTTGCAGCTGAAATGAAATGTTCAGAGCAACAGGGTGGGCACATGGGGGGGTGATCTGGCCCCGTGGGGTCCCATGCTCTCCTGTGCGTTCTCTCTTCCAGTCCGAGTACCACTACGAGTACACGGCATGCGACAGCGCGGGGGTCGCGGTGGAGGGTGGCCGTGCCGCACACACCGGGACTCTGCACCGGGCTGCCGGACCCCGTCAAGGGCACCGAGTGCTGTAAGGTTGGGGTGCAGGAGCGGCGGGGGGGGCTTTGGATGATCAGCAGGGGTAAAAGTGGAGCAGAAAGGGGAGGGGGTGGGGGGGACAAGGCTGAGCCTTCCTCCCGAGGAGCAGCTGCGAGCCGAAACGCGGCTTCTCAGAAGCCTGGTGGCAACGCGGTGCCTTCAAAGGCGCCGGCAGGATCCAGCTGCTCCTTAGCAATAAACACTCATTAACGGAGTCGTCGGTGCGGCACACGGATGGTTACAGCGGGGCCGTCCCTGGGATACCGTGGGGCAGACAGAAGCCCCTCTGAGGAGGGTGGGTTGGGGGCTGTGCCTGGCCCGCACCACGTTTTGTCCCGGGGTCCCTTCCCAGCTGCCACTTGCCGCGTTGTAAGGCAGCGGCACGGCCAAAGTCACCCGTCCAGGGCTGCTCTCCCTCCTGCTGGGGGCTGTGCAGGATGCTCAGGACAGGGCTGGGGGGGGGGGTCCCGCTGGAAAAGCAGAGCTGGGGGCAGTGAAACCAAAGCAGCACCGGTGGGAGGGGGCAGCGGCGACGCTGATGCCCCCCCTGCACGCGGGCAGCTTTCTCCTGCAAGGCAGGTGAGTTCCTCGACATGAAGGCGCAGTCGTGCAAGCCCTGTGCCGAGGGCACCTACTCGCTGGGCACTGGCGTGCGCTTCGACGAGTGGGACGAGGTGCCCCACGGCTTCGCCAACGTCGCCACCAACCTGGAGGTCGACGACAGCTTCGGTGACACGGTGGAGAACTGCACGGCGTGAGTGGCCCCGGCCGTGTTCTGGGGGCTTCCTGCCCCGCTGTTGCCCGGGTACCGACACCCGGGGGCTGCAGCGTGCTTGGGACACGTCCATGCACGGAAAATTGCCCCCCTGCTCCCTCCTTGCCCATCCCTGGCAGCCCTGAAGCAGCCCAGTCGCAGGGAGGGGACATCCCAGCAGCCTCGTCCCACCCTGTCCTGGCTGCAGCCCCCTGGCAGGACCCATCCGCAGCCCCCGTCACGGAGGGAGCTGGTGCCTGGGGCCCTCCCCGCTGCTGCCGCACGAGCGGTGCCTTTGTTTTCCACCGCGGGCCTTTGATCAGTGCCGGTGGCAGCCGTCGAGCCCCGCCGTGCCAGCAGCCTGCGCCTGCCACGCGCCGCAGCGTTGATGCAGCTTGCAAATGTAACCTACTTCCAGCAGCCTTTAATTATTCACCCGCGGTCCCGGCGCTGCAGGATCCCCCTCCCGCAGCCCACCCGCGTCTCAGCCCACTTGGCTGAGGCAGCACCAGGGGCGGGCTGGCAGGGGGATGTCCCCTTGTCACCACGCTGTGACGTCCCCTGGGTTCTCCCCAGCACCCGGAGCTACCTGGATTTCCCCCAGCCCTTTAGCACACCCCTAAACTCCTTGCCTCCCCAGCACCCTGCAGGTGCAGCAGTAGCACCCTGTGCTGTTCCATCCCTGTGCTTTCGTGTGCTGTGCCCTGGGTCACGTTTTGCTCCCGTGGGCCACCCAGGGCTGTCACCTGTCCCCACTGCCCTTTTCCCAGCATCCTGGCCACGGCAAGGTTCAGACCTCGAGATGCCCTGGGGACAGAGCCCGTGTCACCCCGTGCTGCTCTGTGTCACCTGCCCCAGGTCGACGTGGGTGCCGCTGGGTGACTACATCGCCTCCAACACGGACGAGTGCACGGCCACCCTCATGTACGCCGTCAACCTGAAGCAGTCGGGCACTGTCTCCTTCGAGTACATCTACCCCGACAGCAGCATCGTCTTCGAGTTCTTTGTGGGTGCGGGGTGCAGGGCAGGGGTCCTGGGTTCACAGGGGGGTGTCCCCCTCGTGACGCCGTCCCTGTCCCCGCAGGTGCAGAACGACCAGTGCCAGCCCACGGTGGAGGAGTCGCGCTGGATGCGGACCACGGAGAAGGGCTGGGAGTTCCACAGCGTGAGCGAGGGGGACGGAGGTGGCACAGGGGGATCCACGGCACAGCTCCTTGGGGAAGCCCCCCCAGGGCTCCCACCCAGGGTCCTTGTCACAGCCCCCCCTGAAGGGTCCCTCGCCACAGCCCCCCTGGGGTCATCTGTCTCCTCTCACAGCTCCCTTGTCACCCCAGCACAGGGAGATGCTCTCTGAGGGCACAAAGGGGAGGGTCGGTGGAGGCAGACAGGGGTGGGTGCCGTGACCCCCAATGGGTTCCAGCCCCTCCCCATCACTGGGATCCCCCCGCTCCCCCCCCAGGTGGAGCTGAGCCGCGGCAACAACGTGCTCTACTGGAGGACCACGGCTTTCTCCGTCTGGTCCAAGGTCCCCAAGCCCGTGCTGGTGAGGAACATCGGGATCACAGGTAGGTGGGCACGGGGTGGGGGGGCTCCTGCTGTGCCCCACCCCACCCTGAGCACCTTCGTGCTGCCAGGAGTCGCCTACACCTCCGAGTGCTTTCCCTGCAAACCTGGCACCTACGCCGCCGCCGCCGGCTCCTCCTTCTGCCAGCTCTGCCCCGCCAACACCTTCTCCAGCAAAGGTGCCACCGCCTGCCAGCCCTGCGAGCTGGCCACCTACGCGGGTGAGAGCCGCGTGTCCCCGTCCCCGCTGCCCCTGCAGCCCCGGGATGCTCGGGGATGCTCCGAGGGATGTCCCCGCGGGGACGTGGAGGACATCCCGGGGTGCCCCCTGGGGACCTCACCGCTGTCACCGCCCGGCAGAGCAAGGCTCCGCGTCCTGCAAGGTGCGGCCGCCCTGCACGGACAAGGATTACTTCTACACGCACACAGCTTGCGATGCCAACGGGGAGGTACAGCCCCACCGCCCCCCCCGCCCTGCTCCCTAGGGTCCCCGCGTGCTGCCCCCACGCCCTCCCGGTGCCAGCTCACCCTGTGCCCCTGCCTGCCCAGACCCAGCTCATGTTCAAGTGGGCAGAGCCGAAAATCTGCAACGAGGAGCTGCCGCAGGCAGCCCAGCTGCCCCCCTCGGGGGTGAAAACCAAGTGCCCCCCCTGCAACCCGGGTTTCTTCAAAAGCAACAGCAGCGCCTGTGAGCCCTGTCCCTACGGCTCCTACTCCAACGGCTCAGGTAAGGAGGTCCCCGGGACCGTCCCGTGGGGTGTCCGGGCACCCTCACACCTCGGGGGGGCCGTGGGCGCTGCCCCCCTGCAGGGCTGTCCCCGGTGTCCCCAGGCTGCATCCGCTGCCCGGCTGGCACCGAGCCGGTGCTGGGGCTGGAGTACAAGTGGTGGAATGTGCTGCCCCCCAACATGGAGACCACCGTGCTCAGTGGCATCAACTTCGAGTACAAGGGGATGGCAGGTACTGGTGGGCGCCGTCCCCTCCCCATCCCCACGGGCAGCAGGGAACCTCGCCGAGTCGTCACCTCGTCCTTGCAGGCTGGGAGGTGGCCGGGGACTACATCTACACGGCAGCAGGAGCCTCCGACAACGACTTCATGATCCTCACACTGGTGGTGCCTGGCTTCAGGTGAGCATGTCCCCACGGGGACGGTGGCAATGCTGTGGGGCGGGCAGTGGTCCTCACTGTCCCCTGCGTCCCCAGTCCCCCGCAGCCGGCGCTGGAGGACGGGGACAGCAAGGAGGTGGCCAGGATCACCTTTGTGTTTGAGACCATGTGCAGCGTCAGCTGCGAGCTCTACTTCATGGTGGTGAGTGGTGGCGGTGGGGTGGTGGGGCCAGGCCACGGGGTGTCCCACGTCCCCCTGTGTCCCCGCAGGGTGTCAATTCCCGCACCAACACGCCGGTGGAGACGTGGACGGGGCCCAAGGGGAAGCAGTCGTACACCTACGTGGTGGAGAAGAACGCCACTATGAGCTTCACCTGGGCGTTCCAGCGCACGCCCTACCACGAGGCGGTGAGCTGGGGACAGGGACAGGGACAGCGGTGTCCCTTCGGGGGATGCTGACGGCTGCTCCTGGTGCCAGGGCCGGCGGTACACCAGCGACGTGGCCAAGCTCTACTCCGTCAACATCACCAACGTGCTGGGCGGGGTGGCCTCCTTCTGCCGACGCTGCGCCCCCGAGCCAGGGGGGGCCTGCGCCCCCTGCCCCCCTGGGCATGCCCTGGACCACGCCACCGGTGCCTGCCAGCCCTGTCCCCCCGGCACCTACCTGCAGGGGCACCCACCCGGCAGCACCCCCACCTGCCAGCCCTGTGGCCCCGGCACCCACAGCAACCAGGTGACTGTCCCCACCTGTCCCCAAGGGTGGCATCCCCAGGGGTGACACCAGACCCCAGGCATCCCAGATGGGCCATGTTCTGGGCACCAGAGGGGGGCACCAGCCCCTGGCCATCCCCAAGGGGGTGGCACCAGCCCCTAATGGTTGGCACCAGCCCCTGATGGTTGGCACCAGCCCCCGGTGGCTGGCACCACCCCCTAGGTCCCCAAGGGGGGGCACCATCCCCTCTCCATTCAGCCCCCAGTAGCTCCAATAGCTGGCAGTACCCAGCCCTGCAGGGCTGTTACTCCCCCCTGGATGTCCCCAAGTGGGTGACACCGGCCCCTCTGGCCATCCCATCTGGGTGGCACGATGGGACCCCAGCTGGGTGACCCCAGCCCCCCGCAGCGGTCCCTGAGTGCCCCCCCCGGCCAGGTCCGCTCCCTCTGCTACAACAACTGCAGCTTCTCGCTGGCGCTGCCGGGCCGCACGCTGCACTACGACTTCTCGGCGCTGGCCACCAGCACGGCGTTCGCCAGCGGCCCCAGCTTCACCTCCAAGGGCCTCAAGTACTTCCACCACTTCAACATCAGCCTCTGCGGCAACCGCGTGAGTGCAGCGCTGGAGGCGCACGGGGGTGGGCACGGGGCAGGAGGGGACACGCGGGCGTGCAGCCACGTGGGTGCGTGGGGGCGTGCAGATGTGTGCGGGCAGTTGTGTGCACTGTGTGTGTGCACCGTGTGTGTGCACAGCTGTACAAACACACATGCAAAGCCACGTGCACGGCTGTGCAAACACGTGCGTAGTCATGCAATTGTTCTCACGTTCAGGCATGCAAGCACGCCTGCACGCACGTGGCCACAGGCACATGGTTGTGCAAACACGCGTGCGTACACGCACGGTCATGCAAGCACACGCTCCCAGTGAGTGTGTCCTGTGTGTGGACATGAGCACACTTGTGCAAATGCTCGTGTTCACCTGCACAAAGTCAGGGCAACATGCATACACATGGGCATGCACGTTCACACGTGCACATGGTCGTGCAAATGCACACCCCAAATGTGCACGCACAAATGCACACACACAGCCCTGCCCGCACATGCACACACGGTGCCCCCGCTGTGTGTCACACACCCACCCCACCGGCAGGGCAGGAAGGTGGCCTCGTGCACGGACAATGTGACGGACGCGCGGCTGCCGGAGGAGGGGGGCACGGGCCGGGTGGTGACGTCCCACGTGTGCCAGGCCATCGTGGTGCCCTCTGACGTGGTGGGCTACCGGGCGGTGGTGTCCTCGCAGCCCGTCAGCCTGGCTGACCGCGTCGTGGGTGAGCGGATAGAGCCCCCTTTTCTCCTTGATCCTCGTCCCAGCCCCTGGCGAGCCTCCGGGCACGCTCAGCATCTGCAGGCGCTCTTGGCACCCACGGGTGCTGGGACCCCTGGCACCAGGGACACGGCATCACCCTGCTGCCATCACAGGTGTCACCACGAGCCCCACGCTGGACGGCATCACCGCGCCCCCCGAGCTCTTCCCCCCTGCCAACCCCGAGCTGCCCGACATCATCTTCTTCTACAGGTGGGGTCGGGAGGGGGCCAAGCCCCCAGGAGTGTGGGAGGGGGACCGGGGACCTTGCTGACCCCCCACCCCCCGGTGCCACCACAGGTCCAGCGAGGTGACGCAGTCGTGCAGCGGGGGCCGGGCCACCACCATCCGCCTGCGCTGCGACCCGCTGCAGCCAGGCACCGGCAGCCTGGCTGTGCCCAGGTGGGTGACGCCACTGGGGACGCAGGTGGTAGCATGGAAGGGGGGAGCCGGCCCTAAATTCTGCCCCCCAGGTGTCCCCAGGCACTGTGGTCCTTGTGCACAGGGAGGGTGGTGTCCTTGGGGACTTTGCTGTGGGAGTTGCCACCCCCATACCCTGTGTGTGTGTCCCACCGTGCCTGGGTGGGTGCCACAGCTGGGGACCGGGCTGGGGGTAGGAGCATCCTTGCAGCCCCCCAGCTCCTGTCCTCACACACCGCAGTGCCACAGGGAGGGTGGCACTCGGGATCCTCACTTTGGGGACAGCCACCCCCGTGTCCTCCGTGCTGTAGTGGCGGGTGCCACCGCTGGGGACACAGCACTGCCCTGGAGAGGGCGGCTTTGGGGACAGCCACCCCCATGTCCTCGATGCCCGTGTCCCCAGCAAATGCCCCGAGGGCACCTGTGACGGCTGCACCTTCCACCTGCTGTGGGCGACGGCCGAGGGCTGCCCGCGCTGCTCCGCCAGCCACTTCCGCGCCATCGTGGGCGCCTGCCAGGGTGGCCTGCAGGTACGGGGGCACCGCGGGGCCGTGGGGGGCTGTGGGGACACGGGGACGCTCCGCTGAGCCCCCTGTGTCCCCCCCACACACACACACAGAGGACCACCTACGTGTGGCGGGAGCCCCGGCTGTGCCGCGGGGGGCAGCGCCTGCCCCCGCCGAGGGTCCGCGGCTGCCGCAGCGCCGATTTCTGGCTGAAGGTGGGGGTCTCAGTGGGGACGTGCGTGGCCGTGCTGCTGGCTGCCCTGGCTGCCTACTTCTGGAAGAAGAACCAGAAGTGAGTGGGGGCTTCCAGGGGGTGGAGGAGGAGGACATGAGGTCCCCCCCTCACCTCCCGGGGCTGACGGGGGGCCGGGGGTCCCCAGGCTGGAGTACAAATACTCCAAGCTGGTGATGAATGCGGCGGCCAAGGAGAGCGAGCTGCCGGCGCCCGACAGCTGTGCCATCATGGAGGGCGAGGACGCCGAGGACGAGCTCATCTTCGCCAGCAAGAAGTCGCTGCTGGGCAAGATCAAGGCCTTCACCTCCAAGGTGGGCGCCCGCCAGGAGGGGCACGGCCACGGGGCAGGTGCAGGAGCCACATGGGGACGGGGGTGTCATGAAGACTGGGGGCATCACAAAGATGGGGATGCCCCAGGGGGTGGGGTGCCACAAGAATGGGGGTGTCACAAAGACCAGGGGTGTCCCAGGGGATGGGGGTATCACAAAGATAGGGGGGATCCCAGAGTGTGGGGATGTCCCAGGGGATGGGAGTGGGGATGTCCCGGGGTGTCCTAGGGATGTCCCGGGGTGTCCTAGGGATGCGGTGTCCCCGGCATGGGGGTCTCCCAGTGCCTCAGTGTCCCTTCTCCCCGCAGCGCACCCCGGACGGCTTCGACTCCGTCCCGCTGAAGCCGTCGTCTGGCAGCACCGACCTGGAGCTGTGAGGGGGCCGTGCCCGCCCCCACCCCCCCGTCCCCGTGGCCTTACAGACCCGCGGAGCCCTGGGGCGCTTTTGTACCCCCCCCGTGTCCCCTGGGAATCCCCACTAAATGCCAAATGCAGGGGGTGGGGACCCAACCCGGCCCTGGGCACGGGAACAACGGGAGCAGCCCCTGCGTGTGGGGGGGGTGCACACGTGTGTGGCAGGCGTGTGCTCGTGCACAGGTGATTTTGCACGTGGGTGTGGGTGCACGTGGGCCGGGCTGCAGGGTGTGTGCGTGCATGGGGCTGTGTGCACATGGCACACGCGTGTGCGAGCTCCTGCGTGTGTGCCCCGTGCTCTGCAGCCACAGTGTGGGGCAGGGAGGCAGGCGGGGGCTGGCTGTGCCGTGTCACACCGTGTCACACCGTGTCGTGCCCTGTCACACCGCGCTGTGCCATGTCATGCCATGTCACACCGTGCCATGCCATCTCATGCCATGCCGTGCCAGCCCCGCTCCCCTCTCTTTGCCTTGCCCCCCCTGGGAAGCACCAATTGGGGTGGTTTTGCCCCAAAGTGGGTGTCCCCATGCTGGCAGCCCCCAGCACAGTGTTCCCCCCCCACTGCTGGGTCCCTCCCGTGGGTCTCCCCGGGGGGGTGGCTGCTGCCCCCCAGCCCCGCGGCTCCAGCCCCCCCCTTTTTACAGCGATCTCCACGTTTTCTAGGCGGCGCCGGGAGGCCCCGCATGTCCCGGCCGTGCAATAAAGGCGACGTTTCTGAGTCCTGGGGGGTGACTCCGTGCTGCAGGGGGAGCGGGGCTGGCTGGGGGGGCCCTGGCACAGGGCGGGGGGCCCAGCCTGGCACCCAGGGGTGGGGAGGGAGAGGGGCAGGGGAAAGCTGGGGTGCTGTGGGGATGCCATATGGTGCCATGGGGTGCCGTGGGGATGCCATATGGTGCCATGGGGTGCCGTGGGGATGCTATAGGGTGACATGGGGTCCTATGGGGATGCCATATGGTGCCATGGGGTGCTGTGGGGATGCTATAGGGTGCCAAGGGATGCCATGGAGCACCTTGGGGTGCCATGGGAGCCACCTTAGGGTCCCACGAGGGTCCTGTGGGGTGCTGGAAGGTGCCCCTGGAACACTGCGCGTTGCCATCGGGTTCCTTGGGGTGCCATACAGTGCTGCGGGGTGTCATGGGGCACCCGGGGGTGCCATGGGAGACACCAGAGGGTCCCACAAGGGTCCTGTGGGGTGCCGGGAGGTGCCCGTGGGATATTGGGGGGGTGCCGCGGGGAGCCACGGAGCACCCTGGGGTGCCACGGGACACACCGCAGGGTGCCAGGGGGTGCTCAGGGGGGGCCGCGGGCACCCCCAGCGCCCCCCGGTGCCCCTCCCGGCCCCGCCCCCCCCCCGGTGCCCCTCCCACCCCCGGTGCCCCCTCGCGGTGGCTCCGCGCGGCCCCGCCCCGCGCACGCGCACCGGGGGAGCCGCTGCCGCCGCCGCCGCCGCTCCGAGGCCGCCCCGAGGCCGCCGCCGCCGCCGCCGCCATGGTGCTGGACCTGGACCTGTTCCGTGCCGATAAAGGCGGCGACCCCGGCGCCATGCGGGAGATGCAGCGGAAGCGCTTCAAGGACCCGGCGCTGGTGGACGCGCTGGTGCGGGCCGACGGCGCCTGGCGGAGGTGTACGTGGGGCGGGGGGGCGCGACCGGGACCCCCCCCTCCGGGACCCCCCCGCCATCCCCGGGACCCCCCCGGCTCTGCGGGGCCCGGCCCCGGCCGCACGCCTGGCCCCGGGGGTGCCCCCCCCACCCCACCCCCCATGCCCCGGGCCGGGGGTCTTGGGGGGGGGGGGTCCCGGGGGGGTCCCGCAGTGCCCGGGTGCGCCCTGGTGCGGGGGTCCCGGTGCCCCCTCCCCGCGGAGCCGCCCCGAGCCCGGGCAGCACCGGGCACCCCCCCCCTGCAACACCGGGTGGGGACCGGGGGCGGGCACCGAGCCCCGGGTCCGGCTGCGGGGGGACCGGGGGGGACCGGAGGGGGCGCTGGGGGGGGGCAGCAGCCGCCGCCCCGGTGCCGCAGGGGGGGCTCGGCCTTTACCGGGGGGGTGGGAGGGGGGGGAGGCTGAGCCCGGCCCTGCTGCATCACGCCCAGCGCGTCCCCCGGCTGCCACCACCGCTGGCACCGCTGCCACCACCCCTGCTCCCACTGCTGTCCCCGCTGCCACCCCCCCAGCTGCCCCCCCCGCTGCCACCCCCGCTGTCACCCCGCAGCGCGTGGCCGTCACCCCGCATCGTGCCCTGCGCCGCCGCGCTGCGGGGCTGAGCCGTGGCTGATGCAATCCGCACCGCGCTGCCCTTGGGGTGGCTGCCAGGGCCCTGCATCCTGCCCGGTGCCCCCCCGGCAGCCCCCGCTCCCAGAGCCTCGTCCTGTGCCGGGTCCCCTGCGGCAGGTGCCCCCCTCCCCCCCCCCAGAGCTCTCCTCCTGCCCAGGGATGTTCCCGGAGGCAGGGGCTGGCTCTTCCCCCCCCCGTGCCGGTGTCACCGTGTCACCCTGTGTCACCGTGTGGTGCCGGGGCTGCTGCCAGCAGGGACAGCTGTGTCCTGCCTCCTGCCCGGCCCCACTGTCACCCGTAGGGCCCTGCCCCGTGTCCCCTCCTTGTCCTCGTGTCAGCTCCTCCCCGGCTCTTTGAGGCTTTCCCAGGCAATAGCAGGGAGAGGGGAATGACCCAAATCTCTCGGCTGTCACCCCGTGGCCCTGGGTCTGCCCGCACCCCGACAGCCCCAGTCCAGCCTGGGGGTCCCGGTGGGGCCGCAGCCCCGGTGGGCTCCAACAAATCCTCGGTGTGGGAGCTGTCTGCTGGGGGGCAGCGCTGGTAGGAGGGGGTCAGGGCGAGCTGCAGCACTGGGGGGTGGGGGTTGTAGCCCCCCTCCCGTGCCTTGCTGACAGCCTCCTCTGCTCCTCCCTCCAGGTAGGTTTCGTGCCGATAACCTGAACAAGCTGAAGAACCTGTGCAGCAAAACAATCGGGGACAAGATGAAGGTGGGGGCCTTGCAGGCCTGTTCCTAGCATCATTAAAGAATATTTTTACTCTGTTCCTTCATTCCTTCAGTCTTTACGCACGGTGGTTTTTTTTTCTTTCTTCCCGCTGCAGAAAAAAGAACCCGTGGGGACTGACGAGTCCGTTCCGGAGAGCGCGCAGAACCTGGACGAGCTCACGGCCGACATCCTCGGGGTGAGTCCAGCCCCGGCTCCCTGCTGCTTTCATCCAGGGCTTCGCCTGTCCCTGCCCAAACTGGCAGTGTGAGGTGTGTGGAGACCCCAGCAGCAGGGCAGGGCGGCTGCCTGCAGCCCCCCAGGTAGCTCCCAGTTTCTCCCAGTCCCACACCAGTGGTGACCGGCTCTTGCCCGGTGTTGTTCGTCGTAAGGTGGTTGCAGCCTCTGCGTGTGTTGGCCTGGTCTCCAGCTTGTCATTTGGTTCTGGGGGGGATTTGAGCAGCCTCAATAATTGCGTGTCCTCTGTGGGGCCCTTCCTCCCTGCTCGTTCCCCTCCCCTCTTCGTTAGCTGAGATGTTTAATGAGCGTGGCACCGGCCGCCTTTTGCTGCCATGGGAGCTGACTGCTCCCCCTTGTCGCTGCCAGGCGCTGCGTGACGCCGTAGCTTGCTCAGGGCCTTTCAGAGCTTGACTTATGCTGGGCCTTTGTGCTCTCCTGGCTGTTGTTTGATGTGTTCAGTCCATGGTTTCGCTCCAGAGGCCGTGTCGGTGGGTGGGGGTCTGTGATTAACTGCCCTCAGCTGCCAGCCCCCTCTCCCCCAGCGGTTTTCCTCCCTTCCGCATCTCACCCCGCTGCCTGCACACAGGGGCTGCAGGTATCCCAGATCAAGAAAGTCCGTCTCCTGATCGACGAAGCCATCCTCAAGTGCGACGCCGAGCGCGTCAGGCTGGAGGCAGAGCGCTTCGAGAGTCCTCCGGGAGATCGGGAACCTCCTGCACCCCTCGGTGCCCATCAGCAACGACGAGGTAGGGCCGGACGGAGCACGGCTGCCTGCAGTGTGGGGAGCCGTGGGGCTGACCAGAGCCAGCCCTGCTGGTGCATCAAAGCCAGAAACCACCTGCAAGTGGGACGCGCTGCGGGGAGGTGCCCCCAGATCCGCGGGCGGTGAATGAAATCTGCATGACAAGGCAGCGTTTCCTGCAGGGAGCACACAAAGAGCAGCTCAGACAGCGCGGGACACGGCCATTGTTCGGGGAATCCATGGGAAACTCGCTGGGAGCTGGGGGCTGGGATCTCCCTGGGCTGCCCTCATTCATCCAGCAGGAATATTTTGCTGGGGGAGCACAATTGGGCTGGGCCGGCTGCCAAGTGGCCGCACAATGAGTGACCAGCAGGGATCAGCACTGGGGTTCCAGCTCTGCCTCGGGGGTCTGGGTTCAGGCGCTGCCAGGGTGGCAAAGCCTGGCCCCGGAGGGGGCTGGGGAGCGGGGAAGGGGAAGGGAAGAGGCTGGGGGCCCGGCTCCCAGCCTGGGCTCAGGACAGCGTGGTGAGGAGCAGCCTGGTGTCGCTGCAGCCCAGGGGGGACAGGTGATGGTCTCTGCCCCTTGCCTTTGTGCAGGACGTGGACAACAAGGTGGAGCGGGTCTGGGGTGACTGCAGCTGCAGGAAGAAGTATTCCCACGTGGACCTGGTGGTGATGGTGGACGGTTACGAGGGAGAGAAGGGAGCCGTCGTCGCGGGGAGCCGGGGCTACTTCCTTAAGGTGAGAGCCTAGCCCTGCGGCGCTGCTGGGGGAGCGGGGGCGGCGCAGCGGGGCAGTGTGACCCCCGGTGGCTTCCCCTTGTCCCGCAGGGTCCCCTGGTGTTCCTGGAGCAGGCCCTGATCCAGTACGCCCTGCAGAGCCTCCGCGCCAAGGGCTACACTCCCGTCTACACCCCCTTCTTCATGCGCAAGGAGGTGATGCAGGAGGTGGCCCAGCTCAGCCAGTTCGACGAGGAGCTGTACAAGGTGAGCCCGACGCCCGCTGGCTCTCTGCGTCTCGCCGCCCGGCTCCCACATCCAGCCCGGCCTCTGCTGCATGCCTTCCCCTGCCAGGAGGCAGCCGGCTGCTGTCCCTTTGCCCTGGCGAGGCCATGGCATCGGCTCCCTGCTGCTCCCCGTCCCTGTGTCCGTCTTCTTCCGAGGAAGGCCCGGTGGGGATGAGGAAGGCCCAGTGCAGACGCAGCCAGTTGTCAAGGCGATAGGGTGACGGGTGACAGCTCGTCCCCAGCCTCGCCATCGGGAGCTGGCAGGAGGCCATTGGGGCCTAGAAAGGAGGCCAAACAAGCAGCGAACGGCAGCTGCTCCCCTTTTCTTGACCCACTTTGGAGCTGTCCTGTTCCCCTCCTGGGAAGCCTCGCTGCCGGGGAGCGCGGGTGCCTGTGCTGGCTGCCCCGAGCATCTGCCAGGGCTGGGGGGCTTTGTCCCCAGAGGTGCAGGGACAGCTGGGGACGGGGGACAGAGGCTCTTTCCCGTCCCCACGTGGTCCCCCCTGCTCCCCAGGTGATTGGCAAGGGCAGCGAGAAGGCGGAGGACAGCTCCATCGACGAGAAGTACCTCATCGCCACCTCGGAGCAGCCCATCGCAGCCCTGCACCGGGACTGAGTGGCTGAAGCCGGAGGATTTGCCCATCAAGTACGCGGGGCTGTCCACCTGCTTCCGCCAGGAGGTCGGCTCGCACGGCCGAGACACCCGCGGCATCTTCCGCGTCCACCAGTTCGAGAAGGTGAGAGGAGCAGGGAGCCCCCGC